GGCCCCTTCATCACCACCACCCCCCTACAGAAAGTAGAAATAACCCATGAAAAGCTACTCCAAAAATAATATTATCGTGGATCAAGACGAAAGGCAAGGGGAATGTCAAAACAAGCAAAATGCAAACCTCTCACTTGATATAAAGTGTGGCAATGAACAGCACCTACGAGCATAGATCATGGCTTTCACAGAAAGTATACCAGCAGCAAAGCAGGGAGTGTAAATAAATGCAGTATTTAAGTGCTGCTCAAATATGACTACACACACAGTCAGCAAAAAAGATACAACCTCCCCAGGTTCGTACTGCGAGCCCAAAATGCAGTTTGCTCCCCGCCATTCCCAGCCTGCTTCCCGAGTTAACAGCACGGTGTCAGTACGGCTCCCCACGCCGCCGATGCAGAGAGCATCCTGCAAACCAGTCAGGACTCCAATCAGTCACGAAGGGACAGATGGCGAGTGGACTTCATCTAGTAAAGCAACATGATGGAAAGAGAAAAAGGAAGATTGTGAAGAGAGAATGCGATGGCCCCGGGTGCACTGGCAGGTCCATCAATAGATTAGACTAAATTCACTGCTACCTTTGTGCTACCCTAATGATGCGCAGCAGCTGGACGGCAAGGCCAGCTCTTCTTTTAACAACCAAGAACAGAAAGAATAATTACAAAAAATAATAAAGGAAATTCAATGAAATAAAGCATTTTTTCTGAGATGTTAGCTTTTCTTTTGCATATTTTTGAGAACACACAAAAGCAATTCAAATTGAATTAAAACTACCAGAATTTTGTCAGGGTTCTGTTCAGATTATCTTTTCCCATTTTAACCCCTGAACTAGTGTGGTATTGCCTAGCTATCAAATATAATAATCTGACTTTTTATGACCATGTCAAAAAAATGGAAAACTGTACGCACACCAGCTTGAATAGTTCTGAGCATGACTTTGCTGGTGAAGAAGCCTTGATGAGAAATTCGGGCAGCTTGTGCTAACTTGAACTTTAATTGCAATCAATTTATTTAAAAGCAGGATTCCAAAGTACCAAGCAAAATTGCCACTGGTATAGATGCAAAACTGCAAATTGCTGGTGATCACACACATAGTGAAAGAGAAGTGCAATGTTCATTGGTCTGTGTCTCTGCTAAGGCAACTATGGAAGAGAATATGTTCTGAAATGAAGCAACAGCATGCAGTTTGCACAACCTTTGCAGAATCCTGAGTTAAACATTGCTGAGCATATATGATAACGGTGTATTAAAGGAAATGAGAAGGGAGCAAAGCACAAACCTTCAAGCCTCGGGGACTTGCTTGTCTGGCAACATGCTGAGGACAATTCATCCTGAGCCTCTCCAGAAGATGGAGGAGTGCTTCTCTGTGGCACCACGTCATGGGGACCTGTTCACCTTCATACACAAACATCTTACCATACTCTCTTTTCTGAAGAAGTTAACCTGGAGCTCAGCAAGAGCCAGCTCCATCAGCAGGGCAGCGCTGATGCTCTCCCTTTTGTTACCTTCATGACTTACCATCTATCCTCGGTTACTCCTTGCTCTGTTTAGAGTGCAAGGACCTCTCTTTCGCTATCTGCCCAGCCATCAGACTCAGCCCTAGCTCTGACAGTCAACCTGGACTCTTTCCAAATAGGAATAATCAAATGCAATAAACCTCCTGCAATCACAATCCCTTCACAATGATGCACAAGCCATAAAGGAGTTTGCCTTTTCTCCCCTCCCCCTTTCGAAGCAGAGCAGCCAGCAGGAACACATGCTAGTTAAAGTCATTGTTTTTTCTGACATAAGCAGATATGACTTGGATATTTTGAGCAAAAATGTTTCATTCTTATGGGGCATTGTTCTAACCATAGTGGTAATTACTCGGCTCAGTATTCTGGAGCAGGAATTTCTGAAGATGCTAATGGGCATGGTGGTGGGAGCTCTTGGGTAAGATTTTGTAGCTTGTGTTAGGCAAACTGCTGGTTTAAAGGATCATAACATACCCCTCTGGCCTTAGAGTTCACAGATTCAGTAAATTAAAAACATCTCCCCACGCAGGCAGTATTTCCTCCTCAAAAGGGCTGGATGCTCTCTATCTCCACACAGACGAGAAGAACAGACGCACCACTGCTAGCACTGGTGACTGTGAGAGGAAAGTCCCCAGGACTATCACCATCAGCTTAAAACATAAGTGTATAATGGGACAAAAAAAAAAAAAAAATCCTCAAATTGATGGGGACCACTGGCAGTGAGGAAGAGGAGCTGGTAACCTCAAACTTGAGCTGCTTTACCTCCCAGGTGCCTCAAACACAAGTCAACCCCTGAAAATAGTTCCCCATTCAAACCGTAGTTCCTAGCATCCCTCAAGCACTGCGTAAACATTGGCTAACCTCTGAAAACGGTTTGGAAGGACCACGCTGTGGATTCTGCAGAGGGCACGCCCACATCTTGCAAATAGCAGGGAAGTCTGCTCGCTAGGCTTGCCTCGCAGGAATGTATAAAACCGAGGAGGGAGAAAACAGGAAAGGCGGCCGCTGGCCTCCCCCGGCGCTGGGGGAGGACGGCAGCAGGTTTGTGAGGACTCCTCACAAAGAGCCCCTGTCTGTGGGGATCTGGCCATTGCCACTTGGCTCGTGTCTTGAATAGAGGGCACTTTTTCAGCAGGTTTCTTGGGAAACTTGAGGCATTTTCTCTGCATAGCACATTTATTCCTAAAACCACCCCATCCTACATCCTGAGAGGTGCGTCTGATGGCTGCTGAGGGAAGTCCCAGCTGAATACTTGCCCCATGTTCAACATGTTCCCCAACCATCCCAGCTTGGCCCAGGACCCACCCCTTTTCTCCCTGGCCAAACCCTTGCTAACTGATGATCAGCTCCTGCTTTTTAAGATGACATGCTTTTAGTGATGAGGAACCAGGAGAGCCTTCCTATGACCTGCTTCCTGAATTATATCCTTTGGGTCAGGAGACTTCTGCATGGCCACCCTCGAGGACCATTTTGGGAAAGAAAGGACAGTGTGATAATATTTACCTAAAATCGCCACATGGGTAGGTTGTGGTCCAGCTTGCAGGAAACTAAGAATATCTGTTGAGAACATGACATATCAACAGGGGTCTTTTAAAAAAATAAAGCCTTCAAGTAACCCAAAATACCTGTGCTACCATTATTTGTGAAATGAGAGTGGTCTGTCTGAACCATCCGTCAGAATAGTCTTTTGCCTGGTGTGACTCTCCACCTGCCCAGGAAGCAAGCAGGGATCTGCACCCTGAAGACATTTGCTGCATCTTCTTGTCTCAACTGCAAAGCTGCAGACCTTTCCTGCTGTGCACCTTTCCTGCCTCCACGGATGTCAGAAAATTATTTCAGATCAAACCTACCACGGCATCTTGTCGCTCATCAGCCTGAGCATAGAAAGACTCTTCACATGCAGTGAGCCAGGCTGCAACCCCCTCTTTGCACCAGCTGTGGCCAGCCCTGGGTCCGTGGGTCCAAAACCAAGGGTGCTGCTGGTCTCTTCTGGTGTGTCTGGTCTTTGGGAGCACTATTGAAGATGCAGGTCCTGGGGGCCCACAGGAGCTTTCCCAGCTGCCCCAGGCTCCTCACCAGTGTGGCAAGGGCAGGAGTGAGTGCCCTCAGCAGTGCTGGAGGGCTGCTCCATCACAGACGTGGGCTGACTGTGGAAACAGGACAGAGAAAGAGGAGTTATTTTGGTCCAGCTGGGCAAAAGGAAGGGCTTTCCATGGGTGCAAAGACTATTGCCTCTCTTCTTGATGCTGACACCTGCCTGCAGTCACCACTGCTCTAAGGGGCCTGAAGCTGTGACCTCTCCAGCCAAGCCAGCACCTAGGGACTCTCTGCACAGCCACCACCACCCCCCTAAGAATTAAAATTAATTTTATTCACTCTAGGGAATAAAACCATCCAAGTTGTCTTTGCTCAAGGGTATGAGTCTCCCAAAGGCAAGAGCCACAGGTACACAGGGAGCCACTGTGTCCCCAAATGCGCAAAGAGTCATAAAGGTCCATCTTTTCCCTTGTTTGCAGATGCAAAGCTCACTGTGGTAACAAGCCTCTGAGGTGTGCATCAAAATTACGATGATGTCCTGGCACCCAATTTTAGTGCCATGTCAGTTATGCTCCCCCTCCCTTTCCTTTCATACTCCTCCATCCCAAAATAACAAAAGGCAACGATTGGAGTGACCTGCAGAAAATGTGCAGCAGAAGCCAGCTGATCCCTGGCAATACAATAGCGAGATTAGTTCATTTGCAGCAAACAAACATGTATTATGTGGGTTTTAAAGTTCGGAGAGGAAAATGCTGTGGTTTTCATGTATTTCTATTCAGTGAGGCTGCATCTTATTACTTCCATGCAGCCGAGAAGCCCTATTTTTAAAAATAGCCTTCAGCTTGTTTTGAAATCTTCAAACATCTCGCTTTGTTTTGCAGCAGCAGCATAATAAAAACTCCCGGAGCCAGAAACGATCCCCTTTTCCTCCACACGCATCACCTCCCCCGCCCCAAACCCCCCGCGCCCCGCGGACGCCGAAACACCTCCCGGCGACAACCCTCGGGGAAAAAATAATCATAATAATTTAAACCAAAACGGTGATAATAACACCAACACACACCCCCCCTACACGCTGAAAAGGCGACACGGAGGGGGGAAAAAAACAACCCCGAGCGCGGCCGCGGAGGAAGCAGCGGCGGAGCGGCAGACAAAGGCGGCGGGGCCGGCCGCCGGCGGGGGGGGGC